CAAATCTTATCAGAAAAAGAAGAGAACACACCCAAATTAACAAAGTCACAAATGAAAATACAAACATGACCACAGAAAAAAACAAGATTCAAGGACATTATAAGGGAATACTTCTCGAGGCTTTATGCTAATAAGTTTGAGAATCTGAAAGAAATGGATCCTTTTCTCGCAAATATAGATATGTTCAAACTAAACCAAGATGAGTTAAACCAACTTAACAGACTCATATCAAACATCGAAATAGAAACAGCAATAAGAGACCTCCCATCTAAGAAAACCCCAGGACCGGATGGATTTACAGCGGAATTCTACAAGGCCTTCAAAGCAGAACTCACACCAATACTCCTACAACTCTTCAATGAAATTGAAAGAGAAAGTTCACTACTGAACTCTTTCTATGAAGCCATCATAACCCTCAAACCAAAACCAGGCAGGGACTCATCAAAGAAAGAGAACTATAGACCCATTTCTTTGATGAACATAGATGCAAAACTTCTCAACAAAATTTTTGCCAATCGACTTCAGTTCATCAAAAAAAATTATACACTACGATCAAACAGGATTCATTTCAGGGATGCAAAGCTGGTTCAATATATGCAAATCAATTAATATATTTCATCACATTAACAAGAGCAAGAATAAGAACCACATGATTATTTCATCTCAATAAATGCAGAAAAAGCATTTGACAAGATCCAGCACCTCTTTATGATGAAGGCTCTGGAAACACTAGGAATCCATGGAACATTCCTCAATACAATAAAGGCTGTATATGACAAAACTACAACTAGCATTTTACTTAAAGGTGAAAATTAAAGCCATTTTCTCTTATCTCAGGAATGAGACAAGGATGTCCACTCTCTCCACTTCTCTTCAAGCTAGTATTAGAATGCCTAGCTAGAACAATAAGACAAGATGTAAAATAGGAAAAGCTGAAGTAAAACTCTCCCTCTTTGCAGATGATATGATCTTGTATTTAAAGAATCCCACGGACTCCACTCCCAAATTACTCGAGCTGATTTAAAACTTTGGCAAAGTAGCAGGGTATAAAATTAACCCTCAAAAATCAATGTTTTTTTGTATGCCAACAATGAGAAGAGCGTGGCTGAAAACTTTAAAAACCTGATAAAGGAAATCAAAGCAGAACTTAGGAAGTGGGAAAACCTCCTATGCTCCTGGATCGGAGGGATCAACCTTGTAAAAATGGCAATACTTCCCAAGTCTATCTACAAATTCAATTCAATATCTATCAATATTCCAGTCTCATTCTTCAAGGAAATAGAAGAGGCAATCCAAAAAATCATATGGAACAATAAAAAACCCCGAAAGCAAAAAAAATGATCCTTTACAGAATGGTGCTGGAGGCATATCAATTCCAAATTTCAAACTCTACTACAAAGCCATAGCTATCAAAACAGTTTGGTACTGGCACAGGAACAGACCTCAGGACTAATGGAATAGAATAAAAAACACAGAAATGAACCAACAGACCTATAGCCACCTAATGTTTGATCAGGTAGCTAAAAAAAAAAAAGAATGGAAGAAGACAGCCTCTTCAGTAAATGGTGCTGGCAAAATTGGTTAATCACCTGTAGAAAACTAAAGCTAGATCCTTATATATCCCCCTGCACCAGAATCAACACCAAATGGATCAGAGACCTCAGAGTCAAAGCAGACACTCTGAAAACATTAGAGAAACCCTAGGTCTCCTTGGCACAGGCCGAAACTTTCTTAATTGAGACCCTGAAACACAATAAATCAAAGAAAGGTTAGACAAATGGGATTGCATAGAACTGCAGAGCTTCTGCATGGCAAAGGACATAGCTATCAAGATCAATAGAAAGCCCACGGATTGGGAGAAGATCTTCACTAGTCATACACCGGACAACGATCTCATATCTAAAATATACCTGGAACTCAAAAAATTAAATCCCCCAGCAACAAATCCTCAAAGAACCAACTGCCCAATAAATAAGATAAATAAATAAATAAGACTTAAAGAGAAACTTCTCTGAAGAGGAAATAAGAATGGCCAATAGACATATGAAGAAATGCTCAACCTCTCTAGCCATAAAAGAAATGCAAATCAAAACAACATTGAGATACCACCTCACCCCAGTTAGAATGGCTATAATCAAGAA